CCCTGTTGATGTACTGTTGCAACTGTTTTTTAATTATCTTCAGGAAAATTTCAACTGCATATAATATTGTTCAGTTATTTCCATATTGCTTTGGGTCACTTCTCTTTGGAATGGGCACAAATATGGATCTCTTACAATTGATTGGCCAGGAAGCAGTCTTCCAAGCTTCTTGGCACAGAGGAACGAATGCCTCCAGCGTTACATCAGTTTGTTGAAAGAGTTTACTTTTTATTCTGTTAATTCCTGAAGCCTGGTTTTTCGCCTTCAATGCATCTTGGATTTCATCCTGCAGTACCATTGGTTCTTGATCATATGCTACCTATTGAAATGATTGAACATCAAACTTTTTTTGTGTCTGTACAGTAGCTCTGTGTATTCCTTCCATCTTCTATTGATGTTTTCCACATCATTCAATATTTTACCCACAGGATCCTTCAATGTTTTCAGTTGATGTTTGAATTTTTCTTCACTTCTTCCCACTTGAGAAATGTCTGACCATGTTCTTAACTTTTGGTTTTCTAACTCCAGGTTTTAAACATTTCATTACACTACCTGACTGACTTTGTCTTCTTGAGCTGCTCTTTGCAATTTTTTTGCTTAGCTCTCTCACTTCCTCATTTCTTCCATTTGCTTTAACTTCCCTCTCTGCTCAAGAGCCTGACAATCTTCTAAATATTCCTTTATGTGTGGATCAGAGTTCTAGCCCCATCCATGAGCCTGCTTGGTCCGGTATTCTATGTTGTTGCTGACGGAGCTCCTTATTGCACGTCTACCCGATCCTGCATCTTACCTATTTATGTAGAACAATCAAGAAATCTATTGTTTTCTAATTCAAGATGCTCAGCTGCTCCTGGAGCCACCATTTTGGGAGAGACCAAGCGGGGAAGGATCACAACAACCATGAACGCCTGACAGAACCACGGAGATACAGGTGTGGACATTCTTTGTTTTGGTATCTGTTCATTGGTCTCTCACTGTCTGCACACCTCCATTCTGGTGACTAGAGGGGATGTCTGAGCAAATGTACACCCCACCCACACCCCTGCAGGGTTCTACTATGCATGCGTACAGATCTCCCCAAAATTTAAAGTGACAGTTTCCACTTAAAACCAAACATCCACCGTCTGTCAGTTTATCATACTGTGGTGGCTTGTGAAATCCTATGATTCTGAAATTATCCCACCAGTATTTTAGATACCAGCAGAGGCATCCATGGTGGACAGGTTTCAGATGAGCTTCAAGACAAAGACAGACTAGGAAGAAAGAGTGACGAACTAGTTCTGGATACTTAGTCACTGATTATCTTATGAATAGCAGAGAAACACTGTCAGATATAGTACCAGAAAATGAGCCCCTCAGGTTGGAAGGCACTCAAAATGCGACTGGGGAACTGCCTCCTCAAAGTAGAGTTGACCATGATGACGCGAATGGAGTAAAGCCCGTGGGATTTGCTGATGGTGCACAACTCAAAATGAAGAGAAACAGCTGTAAACATCCATTGAAAATCAGAACATGGAATGTACGAAGTATGAATCTGGGAAAATTGGAAGTTGTCAAAAATGAAATGGAATGCATAAACATCGATATCTTAGGCATTAGTGAGCTGAAATGGACTGGCATTGGCCATTTTGAATCTGACAACCACATGGTTTACTATGGAGGGAATGAAAAATTGAAAAGGAATGGTGTTGCATTATCATTAAAAAGAACATATCCAGATCAGTCATGAGGTACAACTATGTCTGTGATAGGATAATATCCTGGGGAAGCCCAGTTAATACCACTATTATTCAAATTTACACACCAACCACTAAAGGTAGTGAGGATGAAATGGAAGAATTCTATCAACTGCTTCAATCTGAAAATGATCAAACATGCAATCAAGATGTGTTGATCATTACTTGTGATTGGAATGCAAAGGTTGGGAGCAAAGAGGAAGGATCAGTAGTTGGAAAATATGGCCTTGGTGATAGAAATGATGCTAGAGAATGCATGATAGAATTCTACAAATCCAATGATTTGCTCATTTCAAATACCTTCTTTAGACAGCATAAGAGACAACTATACACATGGACCTTAGCAGATGGAATACATAGAAATCAAACTGACTACATCAGCAGAAAGAGACGACAGAAAAGCTCCATATCATCAGTGAAAACAAGGCCCGGGGCAGACTGAAACAGATCATCAATTACACAGATACAAATAGACACTGAAGCTGAAGTAAATGAAAACAAGTCCATGAGAGCCAAAATATGACCTTGAATATATCCCACCTGAATTTAGAGATCATCTGAAAGAACAGATTTGATACGTTAAACACTAAACACCAAAGCCCAGAAGAGTTGTGGGATGACATCAAGAACATCATACATGAAGAAAGGAAAAAGTCATTGAGAAGATAAGAAAAAAGGAAAAGGTCAAAATGGATGTCAGAAGAGACTCTGAAACTTGCTCTCCAACGTAGAGATGCTAAAGCAAATGGAAGAAATGAGGAGGTCCAAGACTGGAATAGAAAATTACAAAGATCATCTCGAGAAGATAAAGCCAAATATTACAACAACATGTGCAAAGATCTGGAATCAGAAAACCAAAAAGGAAGAACACACTCAGCATTTCTCAAGCTGGGAGAACTGAAGAAAAAATTCAAGCCTCAACTTTTGTATTGAAAGACTCACTGGGCAAATTATTGAATGATGCAGAAAGCATCAAGAGAAGATGGAAGAAATACACAGAGTCACTGTACCTAAAGGAAATGGTTAATGTTCAACCATTTCAAGAGGTAGCATATGATCAAGAGACAATGATACTGAAGGAGGAAGTCCAAGGTGCATTGAAGGAATTGGCAAAGAACAAGGTACCAGGAATTGATGGAATATAAAATTGAAATCTTTCAAGAAAATGAGGCAGCACAGGAGGCACTCACTCATCTCTGCCAAGAAATTTGGAAAACAACTATCTGGCAGACTGATTGGAAGACATCCGTATTGGTGCCCATTCCAAAGAGAGGTGACCGAAAAGAAAGCGCAAATCATCGGACAATCTCTTTGATATCCCATGCGAGTAAAGTTTTGCTAAAGGTAATACAGAAACGGCTACAATCACACACTGACAGAGAACTTCCAGAGGTTCAAGCAGGATTCAGAAGAGTCTGTGGACCAAGGGATATCACTGCTGATGTCCAATGGATCTTAGCTGAAAACAGAGAATATCAGAAAGATGTTTACCTGTGCTTTATTGACTACGCAAAGGCTTTCAATTGTGTGGATCATGACAAGCTATGGACAACATTGCGAAGTACGAGTATTCCGGAACACTTAATTGTGCTCATGAAGAATCTGTACATGGACCAAGAGGCAGTTGTTGGAACAGAACGTGGGAACACTGAATGTTTTAAAATTAAAAAAAGGTGTGTGACAAGGTTGTATTCTTTCACTATACTTATTCAACCTGTATGCTGAGCAAATAATCTGAGAAGCTGGGTTCTATGAAGAAAAACGTGGCATCAGGATTGGAGGAAGACTCATTAACAATCTGCGATATGCAGATGATACAACCTTGCTTGCTGAAAGTGAAGAGGACTTAAAACATTTACTGATGAAGATCAAAGAGCACAGCCTTCAGTATGGATTACATCTCAATGTAAAGAAAACAAAAATCCTCACCACTAGACCAATAAACAACATTCTGATCACGGAGAAAAGACTGAAGTTAACAAGGACTTCATTCTTCTTGGATCAACTATCAACACTCACAGATGCAGCAGTCAAGGAATCAAACGACGTATCGCATTAGGCGAATCTGCTGCATAAGACCTTTTTAAAGTGTTGAAGACCAAAGATGTCAGCTTGAGGACTAAGGTGCGCCTGATCCAAGCCATGGCATTTTCAATAACCTCATATGCATGCGAAAGCTGGACAGTAAATAAGGAAGACCGTGGAAGAATTGATGCTTTTGAGTTATGGTGTTGGAGGAGAATATTGAAAGTGCCACGGACTGCCAAAAGAACCAATAGATCCGTTTTGGAAGAAGTGCAGTCAGAGTGCTCCTTGGAGGCCAAGATGGCCAAACTTCGTCTCTTATATTTTGGACATATTGTCAGGAGGGACCAGTTGCTGGAGAAGGAGATCATGTTTGGTAAGGTGGAGGGTCAGAGTAAAAGAGGAAGACCCCAAACGAGATGGATTGACCAAGTGGCAGCATCGATGGACTCAAGCATGGCAACAGTGGTAAGGTTGGCCCAGAATCGGGCAGTGTTTCGTTCTGCTGTGCATAAGGTCGCTATGAGTCAGTACTGACTCAATGGCTCCTAACAACAACAATGTCCATGAGCAAGTTTCAGAGTCTCTTCTGACATCAATTTTAGTATATTCTTGCTTTCTTATCCTTTTAATGACGTTTTGCTTCCTTCCTGGATGATGTTCTTGATGCCATCCCACAGCTTTTCTAATCTTTGGTCATTAGTGTCTAATGAATCAAATTGTTCATAAGATGGTCTCTAAGTTCAGGAGAAATACATTCTAGGTCATATTTGGCTCTCGTGGACTTCTTTTTAAATTTTCTTCATATGAGAATTTACATATGAGAACTTGATGGTCTGTTCCACAGTCTGTTCCTGGCCTTGTTTTGGCTAGAGATACTGAGTTTCTCCATCAACTCTTCCCACAGATGTAGTCAGTTTGATTCCTGTGTATTCCATATGGTGAGATCCATGAGTATAGTCACCTTCTATGATGCTGAAAATGGTATTTGCAATGAATAAGTCACTGATATTGCAAAATTGTATTATGTAGTCTCCAATATCATTTCCTCAGCAGAACTTCATTTGCACCATACGTATCTTACATCTGATCCAAAGAGATTTAAAATAATCATCTAGGAAATCTAATACCGCTATAGCCTTTTACATATTAAAAAAATAGCAAACACAAACTCTTTTATGGACAACATATCTAGAGTTACATACACAGCATTCAGTAAGGGAAAGCAGAAATGCCTACCTGTTCAGGCAGGTGAAGAATGGTATGTTCCCCAGCACTAAAGTGTGACAGAGATTTATATGCAGCCTTTGCTACAACTGGGTCCTAGATGGGGTAAAAGAAAAGCAGACAAAGAAAAACATGTTGAGTGTCAATCAGGAAGACGAAAGATCATCATCCATCAGCAGTCCCCAGGTTTTACAATTTGCGTTTTGAAATGGTATTTAAGTCTTGCTTTGGCCAAAACAGATATATACTCAGCAATTTTAGAAAAGAGATTAATGACTTTAACTTCATTTCTAAAGTAAATATGAAGGAAAGAGTGAATGGGTCTGAGGAGAAAGAAATAAAAACAAATCAGGGGAAAAAAACTGCATTAAAGATTGCTCTGAAGAACATGTCCCATTTACAAAATAGAAAGAAAATATCATTGGGAAAAGGATGAGACAACTGAATTTTTATCCCAGGTTGGATATTAAACATAAAATAACTCATAAGTGCTGAGATTCCCATGAAGTAATATGGCTTGGCAGAAGGAATAAGAATGTCAAGAGTCTGACAAGCATGGGTTTCATCTGATTGTCCACTTACTAACAAACAAGGCAAGTCAATAATTTGGAATTTAAGTTCTGTCATCCAGCATAGGTACTGCCAGTAAGCACTCTTCATTATACTCTATACTCTTTGACTGAAAAGCCCAACAAAAAATTGGACTGAATTTTTTGTTTCTTTGTGTGATAGGCTTATTGGTGACAGAAGGGGTAAAACAGATAAAAATATGAGATCAAGACAACATTCTTTCACATTGTCAGATACACAAAATATTGAGTTCACTTTATACAAAAATGTGCTGTTGTTGTGTATTAGTGGGCATAAACTGAGAATAATTTTTTTAAAACTTAAACTTATTAATAATCATAATTTTGGAAAATCCTGAATGCAACAGTTCAAAGCATGGTATCATTTATTCAGAAAGTCTCATTTCATACATCTTGTCCCAACTTTCTTTTGTTTGCTGACTCCCTGTGTGGTAATACCTGGTTTTGTGTGTGAGTCCAGAGGAAGCTGAGGACTTGAACTTTAAAATTCTGAAAAGTAAACAAACAACAGAACACATTTTGACAATAAAGCTGAGAAAACAATCTTAACCAAGTCAAAAAGTTAGTCACTTTGAAAATTAAACCACCAATAATTGACTTAATCTGTATTTACCCATTAAATTATAAAATGATAATTCTTAGCAATAAGCTCATAATCTAAAAACCTGGCTATTTAAACACACTGAGATGCTAGTTTGTTGCTATCAAGTGCCTTCAAGTCAGTTCCGGCTCATAGCAACTCTGTATAGGATTTCCACGGAGCAGTTTACTGACCTCCTCAGGCCCTAGTACAAATGTCACTAGCATCTTGCATGCCACTGTTCCTGATTCTGTACTCAGAAGAGAGTTCTCTCTTCTCTAAACTGCTATAGAACATTGTTGTTGTTAAGTGCCATCGAGTCGGTTCCTACACATAGCAACCCTATATAGGGTTTCTGAAGCTTTTAAATCTTTGCCACAATAGAAAGTCTCATCTTTCTCCTGTGGAGCTGCTGGTGGCCTTGAACCACAGACCTGTGGTTCCCAGTCCAGTGCTTATCACACAGAGTCACCACACTCCCACTATAGAACATTGCACACCTTCTATCTGGTATGGCTATCTGTGTGTGAGGTACTATTATCATTTGTTAATATTTGTAAGGTCTATTGTTGCTAAGTGCTGTAGAATTGCTTCTGAATCACAGTGACCCTGTATAGGATTTCCTAGGAGTGGCTGGTGGGTTTGAACCACGGACCTTGCAGTGCTTATCCTAGAGTGCCATATCAGGATTCCATCTTTAAGAGCTTGTGGTGGTTGTGGGCCACTGAGTCGGTGTTGACCTTTACAGGGTGGCTTCCAAGGCAGTCAGTCTTCACAGGAGCAGAAAACCTCATCTTTCTTCGATAGTGTGACTGGTAGATTTGAACTGCTGACCATGTGGTTAGCAGCACAGCCAGTAATTAATTACACTAGCAGGGTTTCTTCATCTCTAAAACCAATTACAGATCTAATAAATATACTATAAATTAATTAATATACCCAGGACTGTGCAAGTTCAGAAAATACACTGTAATTTAAACACGGAATCTTTCTTCACAGGCTTAAGTTTGAATTTAAAAAATAATTGTCGCGCTATAGGATAAACACTGTAGTATAAACACTGTACTGCTAACCGAAAGGTCAGCAATTCTAACTCACCAGTTGCTCCTCGGAAATGACTTGAAGGCACTAAACAATAACATATTCTAATACTACATGTGTTGCTGTTGTTGCTAAGTTGGTTTTGACTCATGGCGACCCTGTATAGGATTTCCGAAGAGCAGCTAGTAAGTTTGAACACTGACCTTGCAGTTCAGTGCATTATTCCACAGCTCCATGTATAAAACAGAAAGAAATGTCCTAAGAGTGGCATGGATAAAGTACATTAGAAATCATAGACTGCTGCTTGCAGATAAACCCTCAAAGAAAGGAATGAGTTAGATCAATCATTTATTTTCTAAAAAAGGTTTAAAAATAAAGATGAAAATAAGGGAATTTTAGATAGAAGGAATGACATGAACCAAGAAAAGAAAATTTTTTAAGTTTGGAGGTAGCTATGCTCTTGTTATTGTTAGGTGCCATTGAGTAGGTTCAGACTCATAGCGACCCTCTGCACAACATAGTGAAACACTGCGCAGTACTACATCCCCTTCACAATGTTTCAACTCATTGTTGCTACCAGTGTATCAGTCCATATCACTGAAGTCTTCTGCATTGTTGATGACTCTCCACTTTACCAAGCATGATTTACTTCTCTAGGGACTGGTCCATTCTAACAACATGTACAACCTACGAGACAAGAAGTCTCAACAGCCTTGTTTCTAAGGAGCATTCTGACCATACTTCTTCCAAGACAGACTTGTTTGTTATTCTGGCAGTCCACAGTACTTCCAGTATTCTCTGCTGACACCATGATTCAAATGCATCAGTTCTTCTATGGTCTTTCTTATTCATTGCTCAACTTTCACATGCATATGAGGTGACTAAAATACCATGGCTTGGGTCAGGGACACTTTAGTCTTCAGACTGACATCTTTGCTCTTTAACACTTTGTAGAGGTATTGTGCAGCAGACTGCCTAATGTGAGATGTCACTTCAAGACTTCATTGCTACTCCCATGTGCTTTGATTGTGAAACCAAGTTAAGTGAAATCCTTGACAGCTTTTCTCTATCATGATGTTATTTACTGGTCCAGTTGTGAGGATTTTCATTTTCTTTACAATGAGGTGATATCCATACTGAAGGCATATGTATTTCAAGACTTCATCCCTTTCAGCAAGCAAGGCTGTGTCGTCTGTATATCACAGATTGTCAATAGTCTCTTCCAATCCTGATGCCATGCTCTTATTCATACAATCAGTCTCTCAGATTATTTGCTCAGCCTATAGATTGAGTAAATAGGGTGCAAGGAAACAATCCTGGCACACACCTTTCCTGACTTCTAAACTATCTAGTATCACTTTGTTCTGTTGAAACAACTGCCTCTTGGTCTAAGTATAGGATCCTCATGAGTACAATAAGTGATCTGGAATATTCATTCTTTACAATGTTATCCATAGTATGTCATGATCCACATAGATAGCCATACCAGATAAAAAGTGTATTATGCTCTATAGTGGGAGTGTGGCAGCTCTGTATGATAAGCACTGGGCTGGGAACCACGGGTCTGTGGTTCGAGGCCACCAGCAGCTCCACAGGAGAAAGATGAGACTTTCTATTGTGGCAAAGATTTAAAAGCTTCAGAAACCCTATATAGGGTTGCTATGTGTAGGAACCGACTCGATGGCACTTAACAACAATGTTCTATAGCAGTTTAGAGAAGAGAGAACTCTCTTCTGAGTACAGAATCAGGAACAGTGGCATGCAAGATGCTAGTGACATTTGTACTAGGACCTGAGGAGGTCAGTAAGCAGTGGTTAGGCTTATAAATGTAATCATAAACTGCTCCGTGGAAATCCTATACAGAGTTGCTATGAGCCGGAACTGACTTGAAGGCACTTGATAACAACAAACTAGCATCTCAATGTCACAGTCAAAAATGCCTTTGCATAGTCAATAAAGCACAGGTAAATGACTTTCTGGTCGTCTCTGCTTTCAGGCAAGATCCATCTGAGGTCGGCAATGATATACCTAGTTCCATGTCTTCTGAATCTAATTTGAATTTCTGGCAGCTCCCTGTCAATGTATTGCTGCAATAGTTTTTTAATTATGTTCAGCAAAATCTTACCTGTATGTGAAATTAATAATATTGTTAGATCATTTCCATATTCCACTGGAATGGGTACAAACATTTATCTCTTCCAATTGGTTGACCAAATCACTTTGGTCAATTCTTGCATAGGTGAGCGAGCACCTCCAATGCTGCATCAGTTTACTGAAACATTTTAATTTGTATTCTATCAATTCCTGGAGACTTCTTCCTTCAATACTATCAATTCTCCATCAATGCTACCTCTTGAAATGGTTGCACACAGACCAATTATTTTTGTTACAGCGACTCTTAGAATCCCTTCCATCTTATTTATGTGCTTTCTGCGTCACCCAGTATTTTTCCCACAGAATACTTCCATATTGCAACTGAGGTGTAGATTTTTTTTTTTTTTTTTTTTTCAGTTCTGACTGAGAAATGCTTCCCTTTTGGATTTCTGGCTCCAGGCGTTTTGTTTTTGTTTTGTTTTGCACATTTCATTGTAATACTTTACTGTGTCTTCTCGAGCTGCCTTTTGAAATTTTCTGTTCAGCTCTTTTATTTCATCATTTCTTTTAGTCACTTTAGATACTGTACATTCAAGAGTAAGTCTCTTCTAACATTCATTTTGGTTTTTTTTCTTTCTTTCCAGTATTTTCAATGATCTTTTGCTTTCATCGTGCATGATGCTCTTGACATCAACCCACAGCTCTTCTGGTCTTTCGTGAGAGGTGGCTAATTCATCAAATCTGCTCTTGAGATGGTCTCTAAATTCAGGTGGGATATACTCATGGCCATAATTTGGCTCTTGTAGACCTGTTTACATTTTCTTCCACTTCAACCTGAACTAGCATCGCAATAATTGGCAGTTTGTTCCACAATCTGCTCTGGCTTTGTTTTGGCTGATGATATTGGACTTCTCCATTGTCTCTTCCTATATATGTAGTCAGTTTGATTCCTGTTTATTCCATCTGGTGAGGTCCACATGTATAGTTGCTGTTTGTGTTGTTTACAAAAGGTATCTGCATGAAATTCTATCATGCAATCTCCAGCCTCATTTCTAACATCAAGGCCATATTTTCCAACTATGGATCCCTTGTCTTTGTTTCCAACTTTCACATTCCAATCACATATCAATGCATCTTAATTGTATGTTTTATTAATTTTAGAGTGAAGAAGTTGGCAGAATTCTTCAATTTCATCATCACTGGCTTTAGTGGGTAGTGTATAACTTTGAATAGTAGTGGTATTAGCTGGTCTTCCTTATAGGTATTATGAATATTATCCTATCACAGATAGCATTGTACTTCAACATAGATTCTGAAATGCTTTTTTAGACATTGAATATAACACCATTCTCTTTAGTTTGTTGCTCCTGGCATAGCAAACCATATGACTGTTGGATTCAAAATAGCCAACATCTATCCATTAACGCCTACAATACTGATCTATACATTGATTTCATTTGTGATTACTTGCATTTTCCTAGATTCACATTTCATGCATTCCACATTCGAATTATTAATGGATATTTGCAGCTGTTTCTTCTCATTTTGAGTTGTGTCCCATCAACAAACAAAGGTCCCCAAAGCTTTGCTCCATCCATATAACTAAGATCAACTCTACTTTGAGGAGGCAGCTCTTCTCCAGTAGCACTTTTAGTGCCTTCCAACTTGAAAGGTTCAACTCCTAATACACTCTTCCAGCATTACATCATGTTGGGTAAAGTGGAAGGTCAATGAAAAAGAGGAAGACCTCCAATGAGATGAAATAACTTAGTGGCAGCAATAATGGGCTCAAAGATAACAATAATTGTGAGGATGGCATAAGACTGGGCAGTGTTTTGTTGTAAGGGTCACTATAAGTCGGATTTGATTTGTCAGCACCAAACAGCAACATTATTGTAAGCTTATGAAGTAGCAGTTTATCAGTATATGAAGTAATAAATCAGATTCAAAGTTCACCAAGACAGCAAGTGAAGGTTAATTGCTACTATTTGAAGGACAGATAAAAAGGTAATTATGAAAGAGATTATGGCTTACGAAAGTAGAGACATAAATGTAATTATCCACACTCTGACTCTTCATTTCATTGGAACAGTGATACTAAAGACAATGTTAGGCAGTAATATATGAATCTTTTAGAAAAGACTCTTCCATTAAGTGTTTCAGTTCATCTAAATGACAAACACTATCTTAGAATTATTTTCCTCATTTAAGACAACTTGATTTTATAGGGGTCTTTATTAAAAATTGTAGATATTTTTAAAATGTGAACTAACATGGATAATCAAACCTCTGTGGAAAGTCTACATGCAAATTACAAATGGCAATCCATCTCTACTATTGGGCAAGTATTCCTTACCTTTGAGAACATCTCTGTAAGTTATTTTTAGAGCTTAAAACATTAACAACATAAATTTAAAGTATTGACCTTATGAATTCTGTGAGTTTTGAAATGCTGTTTTGACTTGTAAAAATCTTACCCATCACTGTAATAATGCAGCAGATTATCACTAAGTTTGTTGCTTGACAAATGAGAAAACTTGGTGTCCTGGATGTAAGTGATTCTGAGAGCCACAGAATTAATAAGGGTAGATACCCTCCTACTCCTATGGTCCATACGTATCAACATGTTCTCAGAACACAAATAACAACAGGGCTTTTACAAATTAAAAGATGAAAAATAGTTACTCTAAAAGTTATTCCATCACACACATCTCTCCAGTACAGAAAAAACTAACCGGAGCAACACCCATACATACCTCATAGTCAACAGTATTGACTGTTAAGGAAGGAACCAGAGAAAACAATTCACTGAGTGTCTTTAAAATGAGAGGTCTTGTGTCACAGCTCAACTTTGGGGAAAGAGCATTCCAAGTAGAACGAATGCAAACAACCTGCAAAGCAAATAAAAACTCGTTAGTTAGGGCCTAAATAAATCCTAACCCATATGGAGCTGTTGGTTAAGAGTACTGACTTATACTCAGGAAGGTTAAGGAAAGAACAAGAACATTCCTAAATTAGGATACGAATGAATAATTCAGAAGAAATTATTTAAACTAATAAATAAACTGTTGAAGAAGATCCAGCCTGGCTCACAAAATTGCTTTTTTACTACTTTAAACAAAAAAGCAAATCAATCAATCAATCAGTCAATCAGTCAGTCAGTCTCTCTCCATTCCTTCCCCACCCTATCTAAAGACACACAAAAATTAACTCCAGATTGTTGTTGTTGTTATTAAATGCCATCGAGTCAATTCCGACCCATAGCGAACCCGTGAAGGGTGTCCAAGGAACTGCTGGTGAGTTTGAACCGCCGACCTTACAGTTCAAACCGACTTTGCAGTCCAGTGCATTAACCCACAGTGTCACACCAGGACTCCAACTCCAAATTACTATATACATTATCCAAGAAACAGTCTTTGAAACAAAGGATCAGATTATGCAAGAACATTTCTAAAGTCAGGTATCCACAGTTACAGTTTTTCACCCCAGCTGAAACTACATCACTATGCAGAAAACTAGAATGCTAACATGCATAAAATTAGCACTCTTAAGGGGAGCATGGTGGCTCTGTATGATAAATATTGGACTGTGAACTAAAAGGTCAGCTGTTGGAGCCCACCAGCCATTCCACAGGAGAAAAATGAGGTTTCCTGCTCCCACAAAAATTAACAGCCTTAGAAACCTATACAGGGTCCCTATGAGCCAGAACCAACTCGACTCTACTTAACAACAAATCACAATGAAAACTCTCTAAGAGTTTAAAGGAAAAAGAAGGATAATTGGATTATTTAAATAATTTAAGCTATTGTTTTAAAAGTTACTTTAAAATTTTTAAGAGGCTGTTAAATAATAAAATAAGCTTTGTTGTTGCTGTTGTTGTGTGCTGTTGAGCTGGTCCCAGTTCATAGCGATCCTGTACAGGATTCCTAAAGCTGTACATCTTTGCAAATGCAGAAAGCCTCATTTTATTTCCCTGACTGGTGAATTTGAACTACTGACTTTGTAGTTCAACACATAACCCATTATGCCACCAGCACCCCAAAAATGTTATCTAATTTTAAATCTGATCCAATATCTTAAACTAAGTATTCTTTAAATTCTTAAAGTTCATTACAATATCTCGTTTTATAGATATTGAATGTCACTATGTAAGGGCAATTCCAACTACAACAGATGATCTCCTGACTTTATAGATGTTTCATTAAAATTTTAAAACTCAGGCAGGAAAAATGTCAACATTTTTGTCAACAAAATGTCAATAAATTAGGTAGTTCAACAATGATTAATTTTTCTCCAATATTCAATCTTTCCTCCAATGTTAAGTGGCAATTAGTACACAATTTATCACCATATAGAAATGTAAGTTATTTATGAAATCTACATGGGGTAGTAAGTTAAAAGTTTAATATATACTTCAGGACTAAAAAGGGAGAAGACACCATAATGAATTTTACTTTTTTTATATCAGACTTTGGGGTTTGGGCCAAAGTTTACACAGAAAATTAGGTTCCCATTTCTGTAGGATAAACACTGGACTGCTAACCACAAGGTTGACAGTTCAACCCCATCAGCTGCTCTCAGACACCCTATTCAGTGTCACTATGAGTCAAAACCAATTGGATAGCATGCAACAATTACATACCATATGTGTTCAGCTACTATGTTACATTTTTCATAGTGTGTCCTAGTGTGCTTTATGAATATATGTCGCAAGTACAAACACGTATATGTGTATGTGCATGCCTACAGATATACCTACACATGTAACCTATATACTCACAAGTGCCTTCCTACAAACATGTATGAATACAAGTGTATTTATGGAGCCACACACTTATTTTTGGTCGTTATTGCTGTTGCAAAACTGTACACAAGCAGACCCAAGATTACAAATGGGTTGTGTTTCTAAATCAGTCTTTAAGCCAAATTTCTATGTAAGTCGAGACACTAAACAGTTAGGTACAGTTTATATCTAATTGTAGTCAAATATTTGTCCGAGTATATAGTTATGTAATTAGTATACAGTGTATCTTTGTAGTCCTGGTGTGGTGCTGTGGGTTAATGCAGTGGACTGCAAAATTGGTTTGAACCACAAGGTTGACAGTTCAAGCTCACCAGTTGCTCCACGGAAATCCTATACAGGGTCGCTATGGTTCGTAACCAACTTGACGGCACTTCACAACAACTACAACAGTGTACCTTTATATGCATAAAAACATTATATACACGAAAAGAGTTTTGACACAATACAGAAATAATAACATATGGGTGCATGTTGCGAAGTAGTGCCCATGTGTTATTATAAACCTCAAATTTTATTATAATAGCTTTTACAGGGGTTGGTTCATATACATCTTACACATAAATTGGATGTTCATAACCTGGGGCTGTCCTGTATACAATTTACCCAAATCCTCTTTTATTCTTGTATGCTTCCTAGTGTCATCATTTAGATTGGTCAAACTGTGCAGACTTCAGCCATATTTGTTATTGACTTTCACACCATCAAAAATAACATAAATAACACCAAAAATTACAAAAATAACAGATAATCTCAAAAGTGATTCTTCCATGCCCCCACCTGGTAACCACCAAAAGACACTACTTTCTGTATTTATAAAAAGACTTTTCCATGTCTTTTTATAAAACTGATACCACGCAACATTTATTCTTTTGTGACTGACTTATTTCCCTCAGCATTATGTTCTCTATATTATACAGAAGTTTCAAGAACTCATCATGATTCTTTCTAATAGCATAGTGTAGTCTTCCATTGTATGCATGTACCATGATCTGTTAGTCTATTCATCCACTGATGGGCACTTCAGTTGTTTCCATTTTCTCACGGTGGTGAATAATGCCACAATGAACACAGGTGTGTATATGTCTATTTGTGTCACTGCTCTTATATCTCTTGGATACATACCAAGGGAGTGGGATTGCTACGTCAGAAGATATTTCTATTTATAGTTTCTTGAATAAGAAATATACCATTTCCCATAGTGGCTGTATCGTTTTACAGTCCCACCAGCAACTTATAAGAGTTCCAATCTCCTTATAATCTCACTAGCATTGGGATTTTTTTTTTTTAATCAATGCCATTTTTGAAAGATAAGATGGTATCTGACTGTACTTTTAATATGCATCTCTCTAATGGCTAAGCAAATAAACCAAGAATCTGAGCAAATACTCTGAGCAGCTGTATTACATGAAAAAGAACACGGATGGCAACAGGATTGAAGAAAGACTCTTTAACAGCTAGTGATTTACAGATGATACAACCTACCTTGCTAGAAGCAAAGAGGACACAAAATACTTGCTGATAAAGATCAACGACCACAGCGGTTCATTATGGGTTTGTGCCTCAATGTAAAGAAAACAAGAATCCTGACAACTGGACCAATTAATAACATCATGATAACTGCAGAAAAGACTGAAGTTGTCAAAAACGTAATTTTTCTTGTATCCACTATCAATGCTCAAGAAATCAAACAACACACTGCATTAGGCAAATCTGCTGCACAAGACCTCTTTAAATTATTCAAGAGCAAATACATCAGTCTGAGAGCTAAAGTGTACCTGACCCAAGCCATGGTATTTTCAATAGTTTTATATGCATGTAAAAGTTGGACAATGAATAAGGAAGACCATAGAAAAATTGATGCACTTGAATTACGGTGTTGGAGAAGAATATTAAAAGGACCATGAACTACCAGACAAACAAACAAAACTATGTTAGAAGAAGTTCAGCTAGGATGCTCCTTAGAAGATAGGATAGCCAAACTTCATCTCTCATACTTGAAGAAGTAATGGAAAGAAATCAGAGTGATAAGCCATAGGGAAATGGAAAACTTTCATCACAACACACACAAAAAAACATGGGCTAGGCACCAAAAGCACCAGTGGGAAAAGGCTAGTGAATCACTGAGCACTGAGAATATTAAAGCAGTTTGGACAAGAACCAAAAGGAAAAAGTCTTTAAAAATTTCTGAGTTGGGAGACAAAATGAAACTGACAGAGTTGAAGACTCATTTGGTATGCAAAGCTACAGTAAGCACCTAACTTTCTCTAATCCTATTACTCATTGTTGTTGTTGTTAAGTGCTATCAAGTTGGTTTTGACTTATAGTGACCCAGTATACAGTTTCTGAGGAGCTACTGGTGAGCTTGAACCGCCAACTTTGCGGTTCAAACACACTTTGCAGTTCAGCGCATTAACCCACAGCGCCACACCAGGAGTCATTAGTATCCCACATATAAACAGACTCCAACGTTTCCAAACATTTTCTGCTAGGTATGTTCATTAGTTGTTTATGGATTCTCCTGACTTAAAATGCCTCTTAAATTCCAATCTGGTTTTTCAAACCTAATTCAAATACTATATCCCAACTAACTTTTCTCTGAAGATTCAGGCCATTGTTTTCTTTTCTTTACTCCAGCTTCTAATACTTGGAATTCTGTGCTACCCAATTTAGTATTTAATTACTTACTGTCTGATCTTGTTCACTATTGTAGTATATATGTCAGTTATCTCCTCAAGTAAGTAAGTTCTTTAAAGGTAATGACCATGTTTTGCAATTGTCTTTCCCTACTACCCTACACAGTAGGACGTATACAACAGATTACCTCCTTCACCAAAAACATGAGGCTGTTTGCTCCCACAAAGATTTATAGTCTGGAAAACCCTACGTAAGGTGGCTATGAGTTGGTATAGACTTGATATCAGTGAATTGGGTTTTGTGTTTTTATTTTTTATTTTTTTTGGGGGGGGGTGTCTGCTTTTTTCACTTATCAAGTACTGATGGCACTGGGATACTAAGGAACGGTAATCTGAGATCAAAAAGAAAGACTCAAAAGATCCTGAGGCATTCCCAGGAAAGTGGGATGCTTTG